TTTCTTATCATTTTTGTATTCAGAATTGTTAGAAACTAGGGTTTGCAGAGTTTATTTTAGCAAAGCACTTAAACACATACCCTTAAGGGTTTTACTTAACCTTTATGTGTGTTTTCACAAAATTCTCTTCATCTAAGTGCTTTGCTAAAAAGGGATGCAGTTATTCATATGTCCATGTGAAGTGTGAGGTTCAAGTCTTTCCCCAAAGCACAACAATAAAACTGAAAAAAATATTTGCAGTCACTATGACAAAGAGCCGACAGGAGGGAAAAAACCACCACTCTCTTAAACACAGCTTTGATAAACTGAGGTTTCCAATGGAATATATGCTTTGCAGCAATAATATCAGCAGCTGTGAGGTAGCAGCATATTTCATGCAGTAGCGGTAAAACAATTGGAGAAGGATTTTCCAGTAGATAGTTAAAAAATTGTCTCATATAGAAGGCAGACAATTTAGGCTTCTTTTTCGTCTCCTTAAATAATTCAGATTTAATGCAGCAAGTAAAAACCGCCCCAAAATCAGGGATTTCTGATTCGTGCAAATGCAGATATCTGTATGATATAGAATCATAAGCAAAGTCAGCAGATGAGAAAATTATAGGATGTGTTTTTTTCAGCAGTGTTCACTGTAAATTAGAGCAATTAAATTACAGCAGTTTTGTAGCTGTAATTAAATATAGAGATGGGCCCAGAGATGTGGAAAGCACTGAACTGCCAGAGCTGCTCAGGCTGCAAGTGGCAGCAACGGTGAAAGGGGCTTGGAAAGGGGTCCTGATCCCACAGCAGCTGATGGGGGGCAGACAGGCCTCTAGCACTGCATCAACACATCTCATAGGTGGTCTCTCGTGTGGTCAAGAGGGAGCCTGCCACGCTTGTCCTCTGCCTGTGTTTTTGCCTTTCCTGGGGCCCTGACCACAACAGCTGCAGGGGGGATACCCAGCTGGCACATGCCCTGGGTTGGGAGCTCCTGCAATGATTTCCCCCAGGTAGGTAAACTGGGATATATAAGGCCACGTGATTGCAGAATCCCTGAGAAGTTGTTCTGTGAAACTGCTGTTTCATCCATTAATCTTTCATTTTACATTGCTAGTCAAGTCAAGACTTGAGCCACAACTGAAGGTTGAGGCAGGAGGCTTGGACTGGCAGAGGAGCTGCCCACAAAAAAGCTCACACTCCCTTCACCAAGACAGCAGAGAGTGAGGAAAGGCTGGAGCATAGCAGGAGGTACAGATAATGGCAGCAAATGTATTTAATTACATTGTGAGAGAGGTGGAAATGAAGTCTTCCTAGGAGGTTATAAGCTAAATACAAAGATAAGTGAAAGGAAAGAAAGCACTGGGGGAAAAGAGCAAGGAGGACGAGACCAGGGAGAAGTGGGCAAAGGAAGCTATTCAGGAGTTAAGTTGATGTAAAAGCAGTACAAGAGGAGGCTTAGATGGCTGGAAGTCGTTACTCATCACCAGGATGAGGAGGCCCTTAGGAGGTACAGCCAGTCCAGCCCTTGAGTTTTTCTTCCACGTGGTGGATGCTTGTGCAAGAAGAGGGGCAGGGATGTGCTGTGGTGTGTGTTGATCGTGGCTCTGGGGCCATAAGGGAGTTGGAGGAGGAGGTACACGTAGCAGCCCTTTGTCTTCAGTCTCTGGAAAAGGGTTGCTACTGAAGAGGAGAGATGAGAGTTTCAGCCTCCTCATGGTTCATGTGTTAATCTCATGCTGAAATATCACTCTACAGATTTCACCCAAGTATAGGATTTAAGTATGGAAAAGATGATTGTGTATCCCAAGGTGTATTGGTAATAATGAACACCAGCAGCTGGGTAATGCCTAATCTCTCATTCAAGCTGCTGACAAATATTCATTCTTTTTTTGTTAGCTGCTGCTTTTGATAATATTATATTTTATAACAGCTGAAGCAGCTGAGTTTTGTTATGTTGCTGCAGTTTGGTGTAATTATTCTCCATCACTGTAATTTTTCTTTTAGTTAAATGCACTGAAGGTTATAAACTGTTAACTATCAACTGTAAATATTCATGGGCAGTGAGAATAGTTCTAACTACCATAAAAGCTTTTTCCCAGTACTTTTGGCTAGTGCTCTATATTTACACAGGTTGCTTTTCTCGTGGTGTTATGGCATAAGCAGAACAAACCATAATATGCATATTACTTCAAACAACAGCCAGTCGTAGATCCAGGTCCCCTACAGTCTGCCATGTTGAGAATTCTGGGCTCTTCCACAAAGGGCAAGAAGGAGAGGTTCCCCAATGTGAATGTGCTATAAAACAATATTGTGTTTCCCTTAAGAATTGCAGTGATAAAAACATAGACCATTCTGCAGCAGTAGCAACTTTAATAAAATAACATAAAGCACAGCTGTCAGGTCTGCCAGCATCTCACACAGGGAGACATGAGTGAGAAAATGAACACTTTTCACAAGCAGAAATATTCAAAGAGCTCCACTGTTTACATGTAATCAAGACTGACAGTCATAGATTATCGGTGGAAGAGCATTTTCTGCTTGAGGTGAAAGAAGAGGATAATTTATCAGGAAGCCCAAGAAGTCAGACATCAGTAATGATCTGCTTGAAGAAGGGCATATCTTAGAAATAGCGCATTTATTTGTACTGCAAGGCAAGAAGATGTTCTAAGTTATAAACAAGAGTCTTAGTGCTTGAAGAATGTTGAGCAGATACAGTGGGTAATTTGCTGGGCAACTGCGATTAGAGAATTGACTAATGTGTGTCTTGGTGCTTGTTCAGAATATTAAAAGAAAAAGTTAGCACAATGGATATTGTCTAAAAGAGCTGTTCATGCCCTCTCATCCTGTTCTCTCCTTTTGGAGTTATCTGAGCTATGCTGATTTGGTTGCTTACTCTCTTGTTAATGTTAAGGATTCTGAGACACTTCTGTAATACAGCAACAGGTTTGGCTTCACAGAATTTGGGGCTTACTGAGTGTTGCAGTTGGTTGCTTGACTTTCTCAGTGTGTCCACAAGATCGGGGTGCACCTTTTCAGTATGAGAGGTGCATGATGCCTGTGTGGAGAGCAGGTTGAGGCTGGGATTCCAGGAAAGTTCCAGGATTCATTGCTGCTCCCCATATATCTGTTTTAACCTTAAGTCAAAGATTGATTATTTTTAAAGGTTAGCTGTTACGTAGCAAAAGAAACCCTCGCCTTTGCCAACTCTGAGAAGTCACTGTGGTCTGCAGCTTCACAGTTTTAATTTAGACAACAACAACAGCCATTGTAAGTTAAGCCTCCTTATTACTACTCACTTCAGTTGCTTCAAACTAGGAAAAAAAAAAATCACAACTTACGAGTCACCCCTCCACTTTACTGGTCTCCTACTGGAGTCAGCTCTCACTTGGGCTGTGCAGAAAAAGGACAGCAAGGGAGAACAGCAGTCAAATCATGTCACTAAAAGCAATTCTTGCAGGTTAAACAAGGAGACCTTGAGGAACAGGGGCTGCCCTCCCTTGCCTTCTAGCTGTTGCCTGCTGTATCTCCTGCTGGTGCTGGGTCAAATGAGCAAGACACTGCTTTTCTCAGAAAACAGCTCACACCTCAGTCAGACAATTGATTTACCACCACTCACCTTGTCCTGGTGCATCCTTTTGTGAAGTGTGAGCATTCACAGTCCGTGGGAAGTACAGGATGATGTTTGCTCTTCCTGATATCTGCCTCTCATTGCCAGGTCAGCTATGGTACCCACCCACCCTATCAGTGTGTACACTGGGTGAGAGCAGGCACGTGGACACAAAGGGTGCCTGTTGACAGTGTGTACACTGTTCCAGTTCCTGGCTGTTAAATCTTTCTCTCTAATTCTGTACAAGATGGATTTATAACACACCCAGTGCTAATGTAACAATGAAGATTAGTCCTTTACTAGTCAAACAGTAATACACTTTAATTTGCCTACAGCTACTGTATTGTATTGGCATGAAAGGAAATAGCTTTCTAATGCAGCTTCAACTGCTGAGCAGGGAGAAATCTGCACTGCAGAATGTAAAACTACATGGGACTATAGCTGGCAGCAAGATTCAAAACAGGAGAAACACAGCACAAGTAAAAGTATTTGTGAGTTGGAGGTATGCTAACAATCCTAGTTTATTGCTAAACTTGCCATATACAGTTATGCAGTTTGCTTGGCAAGTTCATGATTGCTTCCTCTTTTTCACCACTTCATCTTCTATACAAAAATTTGTCCTGGAATAAAAGGTGTAAATTCATTAGTTTCCAACTTTGTTTGTGACATTAACAAAAAGTGGATATTATAAAGTTCCTCAGAAGCTGGTGCTGTTAATACATTCTGTGCCGTGCTCTGTACCTAGAGACACACTGGGAATCTCAACACTTAAGCTGTTAAGCAAATGTTTCTGCTGTCTGTTGTAAATGCAGTGCTCACTTGACAAGTGTCAGGCGTTCTTTCAATGGACATGTGTACAAATAATCACTCAAGTGCCAGTATTTACTATAAATAGAACTCTCTTCTTCAGGAAAGCAGCAAAGCCATCAGCTTCTTCCTTCTTTTTGAGTGGCAAAGGAAAAAATTATCATGTTTGGGACAATATCACTTAACACTTACTGCATAGGGGATAGAACTTTTTTTGTGGGCATATTGTGCAAGTTAGATGTAAAAATTATATGTTTCACTTATTTTTGATCTCTTTTTTCCAATAAACCACCAATTTAATATAATTATGCTTAAAATAACAGGGTTTTTTTCTACAGGGATGTTTCTCACTTTCAACAAGGGCAATGAAGAACTAATAACTTGCATGCAGAGAGGGACTCTATCTCTTCTGAAAACTACTGATGTAAACTGCTGGTGGGAAACTGTCACCACTCTCAACCAGTAACCTTCACCCTCCACCTCTTCATCACCAAGTCCTGCAGACACATGGAATAGTTAGAATGGTTGTGTACAGACATGTCCTGAATTTGACATTAAAACTGGGGAAAAAAAATTAACAGATTTTTTTTCTTCTTTCTCCCTCAAAAAGTTGCAACGACATGACAAAGAGGATTCCCCCGACAAGTGGAGGACAGAAGAAGAAATGGCAGCTGAAGCAGCAATTCTGAAGAAGTATTTTCAGGACAATTAGAGGTAATGACTTATACATTGACTTACTCCTGCAACACCCAATTTTCTGCTCAAGCCTCCCTCCATAGGCAACTTGAGGACAGAGGGGGAATATGTAGAATGGAACAAAGGAAACCAAAGCTCTTAGGCTGTGTTCTTTCCAAAAGGACACAGCACTCCAATAGTGGCTGAAATAACATGTTCCTTCTTGAACAAATCAGCACCATCCTAGAGCATTTTATTTCCAGACAACAAAAAAAAAGTGTATCTGGAAATCAGAATCATCAGTGTTTACTTAAGAGGAGTGTCTAACCTAACATATCCTCTCTCTGGTCTTAAAACTGAAAATAGGCCTGGTACCTCTATGAAGAGCTAAAAACTGTTGTGTCTGTGTATAACCAGATATGCATATGCACCTATGCATATAAATTCCCAGCAGAATCCATACTATAGAGTGTTGTAAGCAAGTGCTAACTTAATCTGTCAAATCTTAAATCATCTGATCAGTTCAACTTTAAAAATTAAGCCTGCTGGAAAACTGCCTGTTCTGCTAAATTTTCCACTGGCCCTAGAAGAAAAAAAGATTTGCAGGGAGGATTAGAAAAGAGAAAACACTTGGCAAACACTAACACTGGTGCTCTAGAAATTGAGAGTTTTTCATTTTGTACTTGGAGTCCCAGAAGCCAGATTCTTACAGCAGAAATGAACTGGCCCCCGGAGATCAATATGAGTTACGCCGGGATGTGCGCTGCAGCAGGGATGCCAAAAGCTCCCTCTCCCCTGTTCCCCATATGTTGTTTGCCATCATCCAGCACTCTCATTTCTCTGTCATTTCTGACTGGTTCATATTTTTTCCTCTCAAGAACCAAAATCCCATAAATATCCCTCCTTTCTGCCCATGACTCACCGCTTGAGAAATCTTGAGCTGAACTACACGTTGTGCGTGTGGCACACTTACGTGGCAGCTCCCATCTCCCGTCCCATTCTGCCTTCTCCATTTGGATGACATTTTGGATGACTCCATTTGGAGTCCATCAGACTTCCCTTTCCATTTTTCCTTGCATGATGACCATGCTCTTGTCTTCTCCAGCCAAGCTGGCTGTGCCAACCCTTCTGCAGACTGGCATGGAAAAAGCTGTGTAACACATGTAATTCCCATCTAGGAAGGAAATCTGTCCTCAGCAGCCGGGACCTAGGGACCTCCAGGGTTTGGAGCAGCAGGGTTTGGACTACACAGTCAGGTTTCTGCAGTGGCTACTGGAGTTGTGTTTAGACACCCACTTTTCACCTTCTCAGAAATTTGCTCCTCAAGAATGAATTACTCAGCCAGAAAGAGCATATCCTTAGGTAATGCATGTGTAAGCACTCTTCTCTACTAGCAGAGGCATTATGAAGTGCTTCATCTATGGCACAGCAACAAATGAGCAGTACTTAGGATAAAATGGCACAGCCCTATTCCAGTGTGATATTATTTTCCATTATTTATTTGGTAGTTTGGGGGAATTTTTTTTTTTTGATCTGTTCAGAAATGAGGTGGAAATGCTTTTTTTTTCTAGAGATTCTTAAAGGGATTGAAATTAAATCCCCACATATTAATAAAATGTTCTTTATCTATACTGATACTAAAGCAAAGCTGGATAGATGGTGTAAATTCATTCCTGTGAGCAAATTCCTGTGGCTGAACATCTATTTCCATTTATTATGAAAATAAATCAGCACGTGTCTATGTGGATGACCTCTTGATAAGTTTCCCTTGATGTAAAGGTCATTACCTTTCCTAGAACAAACTGGGAAATTAAATCTTTCTGGCATCATTATCGTGAGAGTATTGTGCCTAGTACAGGGAGTCCTTCCAACCCTTCATTCCCAACACAAGGCATCACTGTCAATCTCTTCTCCCTGACATTGTTTTGCTCCTGAGGTTTAAGGCTCTGAACCTGAGGTAAAGGTATATCTGAGCACCTTCTGCGTTTCTCGACCTTTATCTACTCTCTTAACCTTGCTTCTAAAGTGATGAAGATTGAAAGCTTTTGGCAAATTAGCAAGGTTATATGCATCCTTCTTCAAAGCTATTTTTGTATTTCACCTACAAAGGATTTATTTAGCCATTTATAGGTTTACCCGAATGCCACTTGACTTGAGGTTTTTTTTCATGCAGCACAGGGAAAGTCAGAAAGAGCTGAATGTGGGTGTTCTGGAGCCAATAAATAGCAATTTTTAAGGCCTCATGCATTATTATATTTTCTTTTGCTCAAAGTAGCCCTGCTCAGCTAGATTAGCCTGAACGGACTGAGCTGTGTTTCAGAGCTTTTCCAGCTACCCTTACATTTATCACGAGTCCTTCACCACCTGTCACAACTCCTACAGGACTTGACTAGGCACAGTAGCACCTTCTACTTGTATTTATAGACTGTCTGATCAAGAAGGACTTGCAGGCGCCTTTTGTTTTTCCTAAGAAATACTTGAATAAGGCAAGAAGCTCTCAATTCTCTCCCTACTGCATTTGCTGGTGCTGATCCCTCTTGGCTGGTTGACTAACTACAGTTGAGTGCTTCTACATCAGTCCCGAGACAATCCAAAATATCCACCCGCTTGCTTAAAGAAGTGAACCCATTTAGCCTCGCTAAGTTTACACCCTTGAGAAAATGCTTATCTCTAAATAATTTAATCGTATGTGCAATTGCTTAGAGTGGATGCAACTGAAATCAGTGGGTGAATTGGTGTTTTGCATGTGTTTCTGGTCTTTCACTCTGTGTCCCCCTGCCACTGTATCCCCATCTCATTAGAAGGACTTGTCACTTCTTGAACACCCCCAGAGAAAAACCTTTCTGGGGACAGGATATTTAATATAGAATGGCCCTAGCTGGTCACTCTCTTGCTTAATACCACCAAGATTTGACCTCTTTAGACCTCTTTAAAAGCTGTTTCTCATTCAGTGTTGGCTGTCATATGGTCAGCTGTGTTTGATAACTGATTGCCCTTTGAGGTGGATCCACAGGGAAAGAGTCCTTCCTCAAAGAGCAGGATTTGATGCAGCATCCTAATTTCCAAGCCTATTTTCAGATGTGCCTTTTGAATTTTCTAACTGTCTATAGCTGGGTGTTTTGATAGTCTGTTTTGTGCATTTTAAATTGCACATGCCAGCAAAAAGGCTAAAGATTAAAAGAGTTACTAACCTTCAGATAGTATGTGAAAAATGTATCTCTTCAAAGGCAGTTTCACTCTGTGTTGTTGTTTCTGAAGGAAGAACCAGGCTGCACAAGTTTCAGTAGAAGTTTCCTATTTTGTGTGTAACTGAAGTAATATTTTTATGCCATTAGAAAAATAGTCATAAGCACAGTGTCAAAATGTCCCTTTGCATAAAGAGTTGACAGTGATATTCTGTTGCCAAGTGCTTTTGGAGTTACAAGTGTTCTATAGCTTTTAATTGCTTAACCATCTGAATATTTTGTGTAATTCAACATGCCAAATTCATGTAAAAATCTCTCCAAATAATGTGTCCTGCACATTCTTAACAGGATTTCTGATGTCAGTTCTTCCCCTTTTCCCCAGTCTGGCAATGTTTCTGGGTAACATAGCCATTTCAGCTTTTCAAGAGAGTGTAAATTTTATTCCTTTTTTCCCCCACTCATTCTTTGAGAGCACTCATCCTGCCTCCCAGCTGCCTGTTCTGCACCAAGATCTCGGCATGTGTGGAAAGATGCTGTTCTATTGACTTCAGCAGGGGAATTACCACTGTTAGTAGCAGCAGACCAGAGGGAATTGAAACTGGCAATTTGACTTGCATCTGATTTTGCTCCAGTGCCTCTGGAGCGTGACAATCCATGCTGCATGCATGAGAGTGAACACCAGAGAAATCCCATCACTTTCCTTAAATTTAGGCCAGTATGACAAGATGACTTGCAACACCCTTCTTTGCTTGTTTTAAGAAAATCCCTCCTATTATTTCTGGTACTTAAAATTGCATAAAACCACAAAATAATGACTTTACCTTGGAATGGATCCAGGAGTGGATCTGGGACACATGCTGTGCAGTGAGAACACATTCTGCCCCAGAAGATGCTGTACCTGCAGTGTGGACCACAGGGCAGGTTGTCCCCTGGGTGGGCACCACAGTGACAACACAGGCGTGGTCAGAGGTATTTTCAGCAATAGATGCTACCTGTTGGCAAGCAGAGCCACGATGCAGTCATGAACACATGCTGTGGTGTGGGGAATGGGAGCAGGGAGAAGGGGTGCAGCAAGCAGAGACCCCTCAGTAATTTCAGAGCCTCACTTTATAAGCAGGGCAAATTTTTGAGTGCTTACACTGGATTAGAATCAAGGTGGTTCCTGGTCGTGGGGAATTCCCAGAGAGCCTGGTCTAGGCTGTTCATGGCTGCACTCAGGAGCTGTTTGTGTATAATCCAGAATTAAATACACATCCTAGTAATCGGCTATAGATTTCTCTGCACTCCAGACTTAACTGTTATTAATTATATCCCCTACTCAAAAGCCTCCAAAAAGCATTAATTAGAAAGCAGGAGCTGGCAGTTTGCTTGTCTGTGTGAAACTATTATGACCCAAGAGTGAAGTATAAGTTTCAAAAGAAACATGTTTTATGAAGGTCACCTTGGAAAACATCATAACAATCTGTCAGGAGAAGAGAATGCAGCACTCCAAGTGTTCATTTCAGTGTGACATTATGCTTTAAGTAGTTGGAAATAGCAAAGAGAAGATGGATCAGATCATAAGGTCTATGCTTTTTCACCCAAAATTCTCTTTTTTCTGCAATAAGTACATATAAAGTAATCTCTTTGTCATTTCAATGGGACACAAGGAAAGTTAATATCAACAGAAATCCACAGATAAACATAATCTGACCCTTGCTGGTATTTTTGAAGTGTAAAACATCCAGATCCTCCACCTCTGCAGGAAGGAGAAGGTTTATACACAGGAATTACATTATCTCTTCAAGGGAAGATAGAAACAGCCAGAAGTGATGCAGCAGCTGTGTACAGCAGTGATACCCATGCTGGAAGGCTCAGGGCAAAAGGCTTCCCCAAACAAATGTGGTGTGCTAATGCACAGCCACCTCAGCATCAAGGCTGATTATTTTTCTGGTTGAAGCATATTATTATTTCTTATGAAAACAAAGCTACAAGAGAGTTAGCCAGAGTTATGAATGAAATGTCTTCCTCTTGTAGGAGGCCAGCATAGACATAATGTCCCCCTCACACCTATTCCAGGGCTCTGTTTCGAGGCTGTAAGTAGTACTGTGCTGAAAGTTATACATCTCGTTCTCTGGACTTTCATTTCACTATAGGTGTCCATTTAATTCAGCTGTCGAGTACATGAATTCTGTACAGCACTGCTTGGATCCTGTAATTATAGCTCCTGTAGAAACATCGGGGCCAGAGACACAGACAAGATTGTACAGCACAAAGGCAAAGCAGCAAATGGTTACTGGTGGCAAAGAAAGTTGACAGAGAGCCAAATGTTCTCTTAATGTTCTCTTGACCTGCATGTCCAGCAGCCTGAAGGCCTACTGGGCCGTCTATCAAATACCAAATATTTTCAATCTGATCAGTTCTTGATTCATCATTAGGCTTTGTGTGTCACATTGTGTGAGAGGAAAATGGGGAAAGCCAAGCAAAACTGGTGGAAATTGTGTCCCAGGACCTGGGATAAAGGAGTTGAGGTACAGGGCAACGCTGAGCTTCAAATAGGGATGATATCAACTGTGGTTAAGTACTTTTATACCCAAACCTCTGCTAAAATGGTGCTAATCTCTTGCCCCCAAAGCTGCCAAAGGATGCACTTACTGAGCAGCCAGACCCTCCTTGAAGCAGATTCACAAAAAAAGTGCCAAGTGATTCACAGGCTGCCATCAAACTGTCAGTCAGGAGGGGCACACAATGGAAACTGTTGCTCAAAATGCCATCGGAATCGGAAACATATGTTTCAGTGAGAAAAGACAATCAAACAAAGAAGTGGGTGGCTGGGGAATTGCAGCCACAACAGCAGCAAGGATCCGAGCCTCACGCGCAGCCCCGGGGAGAGAGTTCGGGGGCCGTGCCCTCGTCTAACAGTCGGGTAACAGCTTGGTGTTTAATAAGCTGAAATAATTTCCCCGGTATTGAAGCCGGCTCTAAACACATTCTGAAGTGAAGGTACAAAACTGAAGATACCAAGCCAAAAACCCATTTCATGCTCAATTATTAGCGAAGAGTTGTATCGTGGTATCCTATTGCTGTAGCTGCTGCTTAATAGAACTGCCCAGAGAGACATTCTAACCAGCAACTCGGACGTGACCTCAAAGCTTGAAACCTGCCTTTGTGTGAGTGTCAGTATTCAGGCTGTGTAGGTGGAAAGGCATTAATAACTCCTCCAGTAAGTAGTTATTTGAGAAAGGAAGGGGGTGATGGATGTTGGAAATGTGTTAGATTGAGCGTACTCGAGGCTCTGTTGTTTGCCAGGATGTCGGTCTCTACACAAAACCACAGGTATTGCAGGGGTAAACCCAAATGCCCTGTTTGTGTCAGCACCTGGGGCTCTTGCAAGCCTCCAGTTAATGCTGCAATAGCAATTGTGCTGTGAGCTTGGGCAGGGATTTCACACACAGCTTTCACAGCTGCAATCAGCTGCAGTTGTCAGGCTCTCAGCATTTCTATTTCTCTGCTTCAGGAACACCTTCTAGGTCTGTCATGGCACCTCTTACAGGTCTCTTATTAGGATGGACCATCAAGAGGAGCACCAGTTTGGAGCAGACAGGGCAAAAAATACCTCATTCATTCTCCAGCATGTGAGACTGGGGGCATTTTCAGGGTGATGGCCCCCAGTCACTGTTGGGTAATACCTTGGCATTATGCAGAGTCCCCCCACAGAATCAGAGTGGATGAGGATATACAAGAGATGATGGTCTTGAGTATTTGGAGGAGCTTATATAAGAAATCATGAGCCCCAAAGAGTCTTGCATGAGGTTATTATAGGAAAATAGATTTGAAGAGTAAGAAACTGGATTTGATGACACAAGATGCCCTTTCTAATCCTTTGTTCCTATGAGCAGCGGTCAGCAGAGCTGGGGCTCTGCTGTCTTACTCAGGGACATCAGAGAGGTCGCCTCACTTCATGTTTGTTTTTTGTAAAATGATCCTGACCTCTCTTGGAGGGTGTTTTGTGAGTTAAGAATGAAAAGCACAATGTGAAAGGCAGGCATTAGTATTACTTGGAAGTGAACTTTATTGTAAAAGCAGATAAAAAAAATCAAACAAATGCTCCTCTTTCTTGCTCTGGTAAATAATTTTAAAATAGTTGCGTTGCAAGGATTTTCCCCTTTCTCTGTCACACAGGCTGTAATAGGAGCTGAAATGTGCCGTGTGGGGGTTTAACACTGAACATTTCCTTTTGCCTGTTGCTGTCAGTGTCTCCTGTCGGAACATCCTGATGAGCACCTAAGTCATTAGTAATAAACGGCCTTACATTTTGTCTTACTAACAAAAATCAAAGATACTATTATGTGTAACAATCTGTTATGTTTGATATTTCTCAGGTAACAAAGTGTTTGAAACACATCCCATGACATAAGGAAGTCCCCAGAAAGAAAGACCTCATTCTCCAGTTCTCAGTGGCCCTGGAGCTGCAGCTCAACAATTTTATTATGTTCAACAAATATGGGATTCTTCTATGAAAAATTTTATTGGACCTTTGGATATCATCAAGGTTGAATTTCAGCTAAGACAACTAACAGCACTGGTTCAGATATTGCTCTGAGTAGTAACTCATATTTTTCTGAATTGTATACTTGGGAATGAATCTTTTTAAATTGTCCCTCGGCCTAAATTGAAATAAAGTGCTGGCAAAATCAGGTAGCTACCGTGTTTTGGTACATTACAAAGTGTTTACTCCATGTTGTGCGTTTTGATTCAGTTACTGTATGTGGGCTATTATATCATACAAAAAATTAGATCTTTTAGCAATATAACAATTCATATAAACCAAGGCTTTGTTACAGACTAGCCAAGATAAACTTAAAGAGCTGCTGTTTTGTCAGGTGAGTTCTATAACAAGAAATTTAAAGCTTCCTAAGATCTTTGTTTTCTCTGTTCTTTTAATGCATTGTGACAAGGCTTCTGGAGCTTAAGGTGATATAAAACCCTGCTGCAAAGCAATTAATATGTAAAGTTGCTAATGGGATAGTAATCACATTAGGGTTAAACTGACACAAATGGCTGCTTGCAGCAACAAACAACCCGAGTGGGAGCCACCCATGTGGAACGAACTCGTGGCTAGAAATGCTGTGTTTGGACCCCTGCACAGGAAGAAACCCACCATGGGTTAGTTGTTGATTGCTAACATGTAATAAAGGAGAAGAAGTCATACAACAGAGAGAAGAGAGAAGAAATAAGTCTGCAAGATATCCATGAAAAGAGAATCTGTAATCTTGCTCTGGAATTGCAGGGAAATGACAACTGAAGCTTTCTGTGTCCCCTGAAATCAAGATGAAAAACAAAATGCTACCAAGTCTTCCAATAAGAGCCATGCTGAGGGAGGCCATATGGTGCAGACTCTACCTGAGGGCTTGAGGAGGTCAGGGTCAGGTCCCAACCAGAGCCCAGCAGTGCTTTGCATGCCTGACAGCACAGTGTGGTCAGGGTCCAGAACAAATTAAAGTGCTCCATGATAGTCTGTCCTAGAGGGTTGCAACCTGACCCAAGAACTGTGAAAATGCACAATGGATGAACTCTAATAATTTTCCTTAACTCTCTCTCTGCTATGCGCTGCAGAGCAATTCAGTCCATTGGTTTGAAGTCTTTATGCTAGTCAAATATAAATAGAAACACTAGAACACAATCACTGACATTTGATTCCAGTTTTTACTGCGGTGCTGTTAAAATATTACTCCTGAAAAGTCAGTTTGATTCAAAGATTTTCCATGACCCAGTGTGGCCCCCAATATCTTCCATTAGCCCTTTTAAAAACTGTACAGATTGTAACACTATTTCTTTTTTCACACAGAGTAAATGAAAAGTCCATTTTGATGGTGTCTGCACTTTTTAGACCCTGAACAAGGGCTGAATAAACAGGAAACGAAGGTCAGGGAGCAAGAAGTGACAGAGAAGGTAAGGTGAGCAGACAGAATGGTCAAAGATGCTGGCAAATGGGCCAACACAAATGGTGTTCCTTTTGCACTTTAGTATTTAAAGTAGCTGTGATTTCACATAGAAGGAAGACAACGGTTGTGCTGCTGGGGAGAGCGAAAAGAAAAACCTGAGCATCAGTTACATTTGCAAGGTGTTTTCAAACCTGATTCTCAATGGCTTCCTATTAAGTATGGAATATTCTGTATTAGTTCTGTAGGCTGTGATGAGCGGGCGCTGCGCCAACCATTTTGCATGGGGGCTGCCGAGGAAATGAGTGCTGAGCTCCATGGAAGATTTCATTTGTGTAAATGAGGAGGCCGTTATCACAGCACTAAAGGTCCTGCTTTTAAAAAAAGCCTCCTGTGGCATTATGCACAAAACAACCTATTTATGCAGCATGAAAATATTTATGTGCTTCGCTCCAGCTTAAAAAGGGAATTTGCAATAGATGAAGGACATGAGAAAGGATTGGAGTGAGAGATAAGGAGAGATTAGAAAAGGCAGATCATGAAGTACATGACAGCAGTATGTGGAGTAAACCCTCCACATTTTTTTAAGACCTGGGCCTTTAGGATGGTGTCTGGATCATTTATATAATTCCTATAGACTTAATTTTCCACAGGCAGGCAGCTGTATGCAAAGATGCAGCTGCTGGAAATGTGAGGAGATGCTGTACTGAAGGCACTGATGGCCTTTGTAACCAGCTTTGTCCTTTCCAACCTCAATCGCTCGCCCTCATGGGGTCATGCCCAAGGCTTGCCTTTGAGCTGGGGGGATGCTGCAGAGTGCTGAGCTCCCCCACCCACAGCACAAAACATGGGAAAAATTGCTTGTGCAGGGACTCAGATGGACATGGCACAAGTGGAGTGGTTCCAATGGGGTGGTTTCCTAACAGGACAGAGCTAACTGTGCTCACTGTTTACACAGCTCAGACCCTCATTCCCTGTCCTTACACACAAGCAAGTTTCCCAAGCTTTTTCAATTACTAAGGGCTTGTTTTGCTGAAGCGAGCAGTTCTCTAAAGGGCTGCAGGGGCTATGCCTGTGTCTCTCTGTTTACATTAGCAAACTAGCTGTGGTTCAGCCACTGTCTCCTCACTGACTTGCAGGAGCAGACTGGGAGCAGGATGTGGCTCCACATGCCCTCTGTCCCCTGCCTGCCTGAAACAGCAGTTGTGTAAGAGGTGTCTCAGGGATAGTTATTCCCACACACAGAAGAACAGACAGGTTGTTGGGAGCACACAGCTCATGAGGACACCATCAGCCCATGCATCCAGTCCCTGCCATGCCAGGCAGCTCAAGTGCACAGTCCCATTTGACAACCACATGGCACCCACCACTCCTGGAGCTGGGCAAAAAGATTAGGAATGGCCTCTAAAGACTTTGGCACACAGCAGCTATTTTGTGCACTGCAAGGTCCCAGGCACTCGGCTTCTGCACATCCCTGCTTGGTTTTCCAGTGTGTTCATCTGACCACAGTTATGTTTCTATGTGCAGAAAGGCAGCTTAGGTGGCTTATGGTCGTGCAGTGAATCTGGTTGCACTATGGCAGGCAGGTATTCTACAGTGCTTTCAGCAAAGGCTGTGAGTACAGCATGAGGATATTTGCTAATTGCCTTTCAGCAATTCAGCATTGTTCTTGCTCCAGATGCAGATGCACCAGCTCCTGGTTCTCCATGGGACAGCTGATGCCACCCCAGTAGCTCAAAAGAGCTTGTGTTTTGACAGATCCATGGGCTGGGAACGGACCGTGTCAGCTCCTTGAAGACTTCATGTGGTATTTCAGAAATTGGCTCTGTGCTGCTTCTAACCTCCCCCAGCACACATACACCCACACCCAGGTATCAGGCTCTCATTTCCTCTGTGCTCAAATAACACAGTATTTGGTTTTTAATTAATGTTGGAGAGAGGAGAAACTGTTCTGCTGGTCTCTGTGGGAGCCCGACTTGGCTGCAGACTCAGGACGAAGCTAAGACGGAGGGTCCTGGCTGCAGTGAGGGGAGTCAAGGTCAGTTCCTGGCATGTGACAGTACCCTGAAGTGTGACCAGGGACTGAGCACCTCCTGAAATAGAAATACCTGAATCCATGTGGGATCTGGGGGTGATCTCACACCCTAGCTGTAAAGTAATAAAAATCGTAATGCCCCAGTACTCACAGAGCTAATGAAAAACTTTGAAGCCCAAATACACACATAGTGACAGCCATGAAAGTACCAAAATAATGTCTATCTCAGCTTTCTGTGTCTTCCTAGCCACTCTCCACCTCTCGCTGTCACTGTGGTCGATGGCTGCTGAAAAGCCTTGTCCGATTCCTGCATCTGGTTCCTGACGTACAGGCCAGCAGTGCTGGGAAGGAGAAAACGCTGCTGCTCATGTAAGCTGTCCTGTGTTTTGGCAGGGCTGTGAGTTTCAGAACAGAGTGATATATTTCAGCTCTTGTGAAATTTCTGAATAATCAGCTCATCAAAAAATATCATGCAGAGTTCCCTTGTAGTCCTCTCCAACTTGCCACCTCTCCTGCCAATAGCTCCATAGGGTGACCACAGCTTGGCAGAGCCCATTAGCAGAGCTCTGCAAAATCACTCATGAGCAGAGCTGGCTGGAAAATACAGTTTTCCTTCCTGGGGGGAAAAAAAAAAGATTTGGTGGGGCAGGGGGATGTTTGACTTGGCATTTCAGGATGAAGATTTTCTCCACTGCTCCCTTCAGCACCCTCTTCTGCTCCCCTCTGCACCCCACCCTTTTTCCTCCCAACTCCATATTTTACAAGGTGACTCCAAGAAAATAAAAATTCTGCTTAAAGCAGCAAAGACATTGGATGCTGTTTGATTTGCTGGTGACCTCTTCCTGGCCCCCAGGGCCAGAAGTCTCACTGCAGTACAGGCATGAACACACTGGCACCTTCTCCACCTGAGACTCCTGAGCAAGTGGTCCCTGGACCTGCACATTTTTCTGCAACTGCCCAGTTTCTTAGTTGGAGTTTCTTCAAGATACTCCTCTCCTCAAACATCTCAAAAACCTGCTGTTTGGGCATCTGGGAGCTGGCAACTATGTCTCTGTGCATGGCAAGATGGTGGTAAACCCAACCAGTGGTGCCATGGAGACAAGGGGCCGAGCAGCCAGAGTCACTGGCCTGCCATCAGCTGCTCCTCTGGGTCCTGGGCTGCCTCCAGGCATGTCCCTCTGTGCTTTGCCATTCATTCTGGACACATGTCTCTCAGTCGCAGGTGATCATTGCTTTGGCTGGGAAGAGCAGACTTCCTCGCTCTGTCCTTTGATGATGCTCAGAGCTGTGATGCTGCAGAGAGGAGGCCAGACTGGCTGCAGACCTTGTCCCTAAGGCAGGCACGTACGTACTACGGAGGAAGGAGGTGGAAAAATCAATAGTTAGTGCATTAGGATTAAAGCTGTGGCATGAAAGCCTTATATGGCCAGGATTATGATATTTTTTAGGACTGTGGTAGCTGCATTGACTGTGGCACTTGGTGTGATGTGAGTTTAGTACTTTTGTCGCATTGCAAACCCCTGTATGCACATGTGGGGCACAACTGAATCCTTCAGTGAGCGGTGGCTCCAGAACAGGTTTTGAGCACCACCTGTCCCCTCCTTGGATCTGCCACGACCTGGCCACAGCTGCCGAGCATTTGCTCTGTCCCTCTTCACTTGTGTCACCCTATCTCTTTCTGCTCAGGCTTTTGTTATTTCTTTTGTCACCATAGTGA